TTTTTTTTTTTCTTTTGTTTTAGATAAAGTTCATTTTACGAAAATAGAATGTGTTGATAAATGAACAAGTGTTAATAAATAAACGTAATACGAAAGAAAAGACATAGAAGAAAAAGAATTCGAAATCAGATATATCATCTGATTATAGTCATTAAGCAGATGAACCATTAATGCCATCGAACTCACCTAGAAAGAATAAAGAATTATTTTGATTTTTATGTTTGTAAAGCAAAAAAACAATATTAGCAAAGAAACCAAAAAAAAAAGGAAAATGAAAATAAGACTAAAATAATTATTATTTATTTTTTTTAACCATCACCATTAATATTAACTCACATGTGTTTTTTTTTTATTTTTTAATATTTGATATTGCGTGTGCGTGTATGTTGGTAAGTTCAACCATTTAACATGCATTGATGTGTATATGTTTAATGTTGGAGAAACAAATGCGCATAATTACAATTAATAAAACAGGAGAAAGACAAAAAAAAAATCACAAAGAGTGTTGATAGAGCGTGCGTTATTTCGAGAAAACAAACAAACATACATAAGTGCGTCAGATGAGCAAATTTCTAGTATTGATTTAATTATCTGTTTAATCAAACATAGATTATCTTACCTTGGCATTTACTGTTGATACAGCTGATAAATCTTGTTCTAAAAAAAAAAAACAAAAATATTTTGATTTGTTTTCTTATTTTTTATACATAGGGTAATCCAAAAATAATGACGATAGTAATTTATTTCCGTATGTAAAGGTTAAGAAAACCTGTCTCTTGATTATGGAAAAACAATGTTCTATTTTTTGTTCTATAATATTTGACTATTCTTTAATTAATACTTCGATAAGAACTGTTTGTTATCGTATGTGATGATAACATTAGATTATATTGTCTTCGATGTGCGTATTTTGAGTAGGTGTGAGTAGGCATGTATCCAAATATAATAATAGAGTTCGTATATTTCAAACTTATCTCATTGATTATTCACTAAACTTCGGATTAAAAAGAAAAAACTAAAACAATTTCGAGAATTCGAACAGAAATCAATAAACTGTCACGTCACAATTATGAAAACATATCTATCTTTGACAACCAAATGAAGAATGATCTAATGAACTATTTAGTTTGAATTTCTTTCTTTTTTTTTTTTGATTGACTCTAATACATAGTCTAATCACGACGTAGCCGAAATCTTTCTTTTCACATTCTTCAATATCATTTTTCTACAAACCCAAAAAAAAAATGATCCAAACAAATATGATCTTAATATTATCGTCACATATCATAACAAACATTCTCAAATCGAAATCTGGTTTCTTTTTTTTTGTTTTTTTGCTTTATTATGATATTAGTTGAAGAATGATCAAATATCACAGAAAAAAAATAGAACATTATTGTTTTTTTTTGCTATCACTACATATAAAAAGGAAAATTTTCCTCAAATTTTTTTCTATAGGAATAAAGTACTTCCGCCAACTACTTTTTTTTTTTGATTGCCCTAAATATTTAATCAGATTTACGTTTTTGTTGAAAACCATTTGATGTACGTCCACCTTTTGATGAATTATTATTATCTTGTG